CAAAAACGGGTTTTCTCTAAGGGGGGGGGGGGGAGAAGCTATAACCAGGCCAGCTGCGCCCCAGTGAGTTAAAGGAATTGGATCCCACATGGACAACCCACCATGGTTCAAAATCCTAGCTCTGGCAGCTTGAACATACTTGGGCAAGTGGGTGTGTATGCTCAAAATGCCAAAGGGATAGAGAAATTAAGAAAGACTGCAGTATGACCACACCCACTAAAAGGGTTCTCGTGCTTAAATGCGAGCAACTACACACTCTGGCAATTAAAAAATATATTATCCTATTTAAAATGATCCATTTCATGAAACTACTCAATAAACAAGAGAATCTCTAGTTTTGTATAAAAATGCAAGTGACAAGTCATCTACTCTGAGTAACTGAGTTAGTTATCAGTGATAATGAACTAGACCAGCACTAGAAAGTGTAAGCATTGTTTCTATTGAATTTTGTAATCTAACCAGGTGGGCTGGCATCAAATATCTTTGTTTGAAATACCCAGGTGGCCAGTAGGTTGTGTAGCGATTAAGGCATTGGATCCTAAATGGCACACTTTGAGGTCCTGGGTCAAGAGCTTGAAAATATACCAGGTGAGTGGGTGTACATGCCCAAAATCCTCAAAGGAGGGAGGTATGGAAGAGAATGTGGTGAACATTCTCCATGAGGGGTGTTTTCTCCTTTCCCTTCCTCTCTAGCAAGTACATGGGACCTCTGACAAAAAAATAAAAAGTTTAACACTCTGGGCTGGTGCCATGGCTAGTGGTTAAGTGAACCAGGTCCCATATGGCTGACCACATGATTTGAATCCCAGACTTGGTGACTTGAAAAACATGCTGGACATGTATGTATATAAGCCCAAGATCCCCACAAGGTAGGGAAATGGAGAAGGGATTGTGGCATGATCATGTCTCACTCAGGTGCTTTCTTTCTTTCTCTCTTTCTCTGGTGAGCACATGTGTCCTCTGGAAAAAATAAGGGGGAAAAAAAAATCTTCAAAAGACATAATGGTTATGTCACTGGACTCTCACACAGTTGACTGAGGTGAGTCCCAGACCCTGCAGCTTGAAACTCATGCCAGGTATAAGTGTGTACATGCCCAAAATCCCAAGCAGAGAATGAAGGGACTACAGCAAGGCCATCCATTCTGGGGGGTGACTTTTCACTTTCTGTCTCTCTAGGGAGTGCACATGCCCTATAGCAAACACCTCACTTAAGAAAAAACAAAAGCTCCTTTAAAATCAACAAATGTGAGACCAGGTAGTGGCACAGCAGTAAAACACAACACTCTGCAAGGTAATTCCACACGGCAAGGTTCCTGATGCAAGTCTAGAGTCCATCCTGATTACAATTCAAGACTCTGGGGCCCTTCCTTCCTTCTCCATCCCATCCCCTCCTCCTCTCTCTCTCAAGAGATACATACTTTTTCTAAAAAGTTCAACAACTGTGATAAATTTTGCCATCTACATTGAAAGTAAACATTAACACATGCACCCAAAACTACAATTTGGGTTCTATAAATACTCTAGTACTGTTTACAACTGAGTATCTCTCAAAATAAACAAACAAGAGACTGTATCAGATCTGTAAAGGGGCAGGGCACTCATTTCTCTACAAAATCTGAGAGAGAAACTAGTGTTTATTTAAATCAAAGATATCCACCCATAAAAGATGCTTCACAAATACCCACTGACACCATGTAGTTTTAAATACAATTAACTTCAGTCTCGTAAAACTGAAACTGGGAGGAAAAACATGAACTGGCTGCTTTCTTGCCCTCAAACTTCTAAAAACAGTATGAGGGAAGCAGAATACCAAATTTAACAAGACATTACTAATTAAAGGCAATGAATTACCCAAGCACTACTATTAGCTATTATTATTAATTAAATCTTCGAATTTTAATAAATAATTCCCTTTATCGTCATCTTACAGACCAAAAACAAAAGGGCACTATACCTTAGTACCCTTTCCTATAAACGCAGAAACTAAAATGTGACAGTTTAGAAGACAGGCTGAGTCTGAACTGTAGCTTCGTAGAAATAACACAAGAATCTCTAGAATGAATAAAAAGATACAACAAGTGAAAGACACTTAAGGGAGTTTGCTTACCGTCACCCTGCATGTCTGAAGTCCATAGTGTCAGATTATCACGTAACAACTGCATGATAAGTGTAGAGTCTTTATAGCTTTCTTCACTCAGCGTATCCAGTTCTGCAATTGCATCATCAAAAGCTGCTTTTGCCAACCTAAAATATTAAAATGTATTACAAAAATTAACAAGTGCAAAAACAGAATTAGAAATGACAAAAAAGGTTAGCCACCAATCTTTTCTTCAGTCATTTCACAATGTTTAATAGTGACAACAAAATAAAAGAAAAAGCACATATAGTCATCACTGTCAAGTCCAGCTCATTAAGTGTTTACAGACATGTACTAAGTAAGCCTATGGTTACGTCTACATTGGACATGTACAAACTTTCTGTCATTATTTCCTAAACAATAAAACTATTCACATAGCAGTCATACCGCATGAAGTATTGAAAGTAATCTAGAGATGATTTAAAATACACAGGAGGGGGCCCATGAGGTAGCATGGTAGTTAAGGGCACTAGACTCCCACATGGCTGACCCTGGTTCAACTGCTAGACCTGGCTGCTTGCTTTCTCACTTTCCCTCTCTCGCGCTCTCTCTTTCACTCTGTCCCTCTCTGGTCAAATTAAGATAAATAAATGGATAAAGTTAAATAAAATAATTCTTAAAAAATATATAGGAGGATGCACACGAGTTTACATGCAAATACTATGCCATTTAACATAAAGGGCATGAGTAACTACAGATTCTGGTGTCTTCAGGTGGTCCTGGAACCAATCACTCACAGACACCAAGGGATACTGAGGGACTGCGTAACTAATAAACAGCAACTTGAGTATCTGGATCTAGTCAATGTGGTACAAGTGGTAGGGTGCTGCTGATTCACAGCTGTGGCCACATGGGAGACCCAAGTTCGCATCTTGGATTAACCTTTCAGGCCAGACTCAGCAATGCACTATAATCTTAGCTAACAAGGGAGGGCTGAGACGTGATCTAGACAGCAAGACTGTCAAAAATACCTCTCTCTCCCTCTTCCTCTCATTAAAAATAAATTTCTTTAGAGCACTACTTTTCACAACGCCATCTACAAGACTACTTCTGATGGTCTAGGATACATAATATAGGCCCACAGAATAAACAGACCAAAATCCATTTTAATGTACCACCAAAATACACACACAATAAAGGTATGTCCAAGTTCTAAACAACAGCTCATTTACTTAATAAACCCTTTTAAAAGAATTATTTAACTTTAGGGACCAGCAGACGGGCATAATGGTCACGTTGCTGAACTCCCACGTAGTCAACAGCAGTCTGAGTCCTGGACCCGGCAATGTATAACTCACATCAGGCATGTGTGTGAGGAGAAATGGGAGACTGTGGCATGGTCACCACCCCCTCCCAGAGGGTTATTTCTCATGTTCCCTCTCTCTGTCTCTCTCTTTCCAGAAAAGGCAAGGGCCCTATGGCAAAAACCCTTTTTAAAAAGAATTATTTTTATTTAACTTTCTTTCTTTTAATTCGATCAGAGAGAGAGAGAGCAAGAGAGAGCAAGAGAGCAAGAAAGCAAGCCACCAGGTCCAGGACTCCAACCATGGTCGGCCATGTGGGAGTCCAGCATCCTAAATGACCACGCCACCTGCTGGCCTCACTTTTTTTTTAAAAGTAATTATTTTATTTTTTATTATTTTTTTTTCAATTTTGACAATGGAGATTCAAACCATGGTGGGCCATGTGTCCAGCACCTTAACCATGTCACCAGATGGCTCCACAAAACTCTTAAAAAAAAAAGAACAGCAAAATTCCGAGAGGAGAGTGGAAGAGAAGGGACTGCAGCATGGCCAATCCCCTGGGTGGGGTAATTCCTCCCTTTCTGTCTCTCTGATGAGCACACACACCCTATAGCAAAACTCTCTTTAAAAAAAAAAAAAAAAAAAAAAAAAACTAAAGAGCTAGGAATCAAGGATTAACACATATATCACTAAATAAAAGACTCAAGTGTTATTCTGTAGAAGGGACGTTAGGAATGTTGAGGGGCAATTACTGGGGAGGTCAAATCTGAACTCATGTTAATGCATAAGATGAGAGCATGAAGAGTACACCAGATTTTTCTTCCTTTTTTTTTTTTGCCGCAGGGCCATGCGCTCAGAAGAGACAGAAACATATATAGTGAGGAGGAAAGTAAGAAATCATCTCCAGAGGGGATGGCCACACTGTAATCCCTTCTCCTCTATTCTCCTCTCAAGATTTTGGGCACACACACACACCTCTGGCATGATTTTTAAGCTACCAGGTCCAGGATTTGAAACACAGCCAGTCATGTAGGAATCCAGTAACTTAACCACCACGCCACCTGCTAGCCCCAAGAACAAACCGTATTTAGGCAAAAGCATAAGGTGCCTTAAGTTGGAGCTATGTAATGGGCCAGTTAGACTGCAGAACAATAAAAGATCCAAGTACTACTATAGTTGGAAGTTATAATTTCTTCAGTTAAGCTTTGCATCTAGACAAACTCAGCTAGCCATTCAGAATGTTTTTTGATGCATACTGGTGTGTGCTCAAATGAATCCACCATACATCAGGAAAATCTCTTTCAGTGCAATACCCAATATTCCTACACACTTAAAGATATAATAATCCCCCCTTCATCTACAGTTCAAGTTTCTGTGGTATCAACTATCTATAATCAACAGCAATCCAAAAACACTAAAATCCGATCTGATCACAGTTCGAATTCCAATCCTAGAGACGTGATAAACATGCCACGTGCATGTGCATGCATGCCCACAATCCCAACAGGACAGAGAAACAGAAGGGACTGTAACATAACCACACTCAATGGGTGCTTTCTCCCCACTCCCACAAAACACGCACGCACATGTGACCTCTGACAATTACATAAGTAAAAATATTAAATTAAAAAAATTCCAAAATTAAACAATCAAAAAGTTTTAAATTAGGGAACCAGCAGTTAGCGTAATGGCTATGTCGCTGGACTCCCACGGAGTCAACCGCGGTTCGCGTCCCAGACCCGGTGGCTTAAAACTCACACCGGGCGTGTGTGCGTGCGTGCCCAAGATCCCGAGAGGAGAATGGAGGAGAAAGGATCGTTGCATGACCATCCCCCCTGGGGGATGATTTCTCGATTTCTGTCTCTATGTCTCTCTCTCTGTCTGTCTGGCGAGGGCACATGCCCTATAGTGAAAAACCTCTCCAAAAAAAAAAGTTTTAAATTACATGGCAACTCTGCCATTAAGTAGAGTGATGAAATCTCACACCTTCTGGTTCTATCTCATCTGGGACATTAATCACCCCTTTGTCTAATGTGTCCACCCTGTGTATGTTACAGATTATTAGTTACATAGTAACAGCTTCAGTTATCAGACCCCAAAACCCCAGCAAATACAGGGTTAGGTAATAACTGAAGTTTCAGGCATGTACTGGAGATCTTGAAACATATCCCTCCTGTGGATAAAGGGGGACTACTGTACCAACATTTCATTTATTAGTTAATTCCCGTCCTCCATCTTTAAAACATTTTCATTTAAAACACCTTTTCTGGGACCAGCAGTTGGCGTAATGGCTATGTCACTAGACTCCCATGTAGTCAATCGTGGTTCGAGTCCCAGACTCGGTGGCTTAAACTCACACTGGGCATTGTGTGCGTGAGTGCCCAAGATCCTGAGAGGAGAAAGGATTGTGGTGTGGCCATGCTCCCTGGAGGGTGATTTCTCCCTTCCTGTTTTTGTCTTTCTGGCAAGGGCACGCGCCCTTATAGAAAAACCTCTCAAAAAAAAAAAAAAAAAAAAAAAACCACACACAACAACAACAACAAAAAAAACACAACAAAACAAGCCCCATCTTTTCTGCTACTCTAGTACTTATTGTACAGCTATGAAACAGAAAATTATGCCAGTCCCATGGACAAGTTACTAAAAGAGTTGGATCCCACATAGGTTCCTATCAACCTGGCAGCTTAAAAATCATGCCAGACAAATACAAATGAATGAATTCCTAACAGGATAAAGAAAGGGAGAAGGGGAACCAGCAGGTGGTATGGCTGTTAAGGTGTTAGACACTCCCACACGGTCGACCAACAGTTCAAGTCCAGGGCCCAGTGGCTTGTTTTCTCTCTTTCTCGTCAAATTTTTAAAAATAAATAAAATTTAATAATGCTTAAAAGAGAGAAAGAGAGAGAGAGAGAGAGAGAGAGAGAAGGGACTGCAGCATGATCACAACCCACTGAGAGGATGTTTGCTCCCGCCCCCTTACTCAGTCTGTCCTTCCATCTCTCTCTGGTGAGCGTACACACACTACTGATAATTTAAAAAAAAAAATTTTTTAACTACAAAAAAAAATTGAACACAGAATAGCCATGTCCAAGCAATTATATTCCTAGGCAGAGGGCCAGCAGGTGGCATGGTGGTTAGAGGCGCTAGATTCTCACAAGGTCCAGTTCCGCTGTTAGAGTTCCAGAACTGGCTGTTTGCTTTCTCACTTTCCCTCTCTGGTCAAATTTAAAAATAACAACAAATGGAATTAAATAAATAAATAAATCTAAAAACAAGTTGCTAGGCAGAGCTGAAAATTATGACTCAAAAATGTTAACAGCAGAATCACAAGAGGCAAAAGGTAGAAACAAACCCAAATGTCCATTAAAAAAGGAATCAATCAGGAACCAGCAGTTAGCATAATGGCTACATAGCTGGACTCCCACGTAGTCGACCGCGGTTTGTGTCCCGGACCCAGTGGCTTAAAACTCACTCCGGGCGCGTGTGTGTGCGTGCCCAAGATCCCGAGAGGAGAATGGAGGAGAAGGGATTGCGGCGTGACCATCTCCCCTGGGGGGTGATTTCTTGCTTTCTGTCTCTATGTCTCTCTCTGTCTGTCTGGCGAGCGCACGCGCCCTATAGTGAAAACCTCTCCAAAAAAAAAAAAAAGGAATTATTTTATTTATTGTTGTTGTTCTTCAGCCTGGTCAGGGAGACACACACACACACACACACACACACACACACACAGAGAGAAAGAGCGTGCACAAGAGAGCGAAAGCAACAGTCAGCCATGTGGGAGTCTAGCACCTTAACCACCACACCTGCTGGCCTCTGGACATACAATACTTTAAAGCCATGCCACCTGCTGGCCCCTTGCCATGTATATTTTACCACAATTTTATTGTTTAGGTTTTTTACCTTAGGGCAAAAAAACACCAGAGGAGACAAAAAAAAACAGAGAGAAATCACTCCTTAGGGGGTACAACCAAGTGCAATCTCTTCTCCATCCTCCTCTCAAGCTTTTTGGCACAGATGCACATGTACCCAGTGTGATTTTCAAGCCCCTGGGCCCAGGACTCAAACTAAGGTCAGCCTTCTGGGAATTCCACACCTTAACTACTGCACCACCTGATGGCCCCAACAACTTTCAAGTAAAAAATTACGAGCATAAAGAGCCTCCTTAAAATTTCTGTCTGTAACTGGGCCAGCAGCTGACTTGGAATTCACAGGGCCAACTCCATGCTTTGAGTCCCAGACCCGGCAATGTGAAAAACACATTGAGCGTGTGTGGCACATGTACCCAAAATCCCCAGAAGAGAATGGAGAAGAGACTGTACTATGGTCCACTCCCTAGGGGGTGACTTCTTTCACTTTCTCTTTGTGTGAAGTACACGACTCAAAAAGTTCTATCTGTAATATGAAAAACTGGGAACAAACTGAAGTACAAATGGGGGACTAGTTTAACATGCATCAATTAGACTGAAGATTTTTATAATGTATTATATGACAGAAATACAGGAGCCAGTAGGTGGCATGGTAGTGAAGGAAGCTAGATCCCACATGGCTGACAGCAAGATTTGAGTCCCAAACCCAGCAGTTTGAAAAACATGCTGGGTGGGCATATGTGCATAGGTGCCCAAGATCCCAAAGAAGTGAGAAGTGGAGAAGGGATTGCAGTGTGACTGCCCTCAGTAAAGGATGCCTTCTCACTTTTTCTCCAGGGAGCACACATGCTCTCTGGCAAATGAAAAACAGAAATACAGGAGGCCAGTGGACTAGCAGGTGGCATGGCGATTAAAGTGCTGGATACTCCCACATGGCCAACCATGGTTTGAGTCCCAGACCTGGTGGCTTGCTTTCTCACACGTTCCCACTCTCCAGTCAAATTAAAATGAATGAATGAATAAATCAAATTTTAAAAAAATTCTTAAAAAATAAAAAAATACAGAGGGCCAGTAGATGGTATGGTAGTTAACACACTGGACTGCCACACAGCTGACCATGGTTGAGTCCTGGACCTGTCAGCTTGAAAATCACACTGGGCACATATGCACACGTGCCCAAAATCTCAAAAGGAGGATAGAGGAGAAGGGGTTGGGGCATGGCCACCCCCCAGAGGGAGTCACTTCTCATTTTCCCCTCTCTGTCACTGTTGCTCTCTAGTGCACAAGCACTATGGTAAAAAAAATTTTGAAAAGTAATAATAAATAAAAAACCAAACCAATCACAAAAATGTTATGTTCACTGTGTATGTTAACTATTAAAACTATGCCAGGACCAGCAGATGGCATAATGGTTAAGTCGCTGGACTGCCACATAGCCAACTGCAGTTCAAGTTCCAGACTGGGCAGCTTAAAACTCACACTAGGGGCCAACAGGTAGCATGATGGTTAGGTGCAGGACTCCCACATGGCCAACAGAGGTTCAAGTCTCAGACCTGGCGGCTTGCTTTCTCATTTTCCGTTTCTCTCTATAGACAAATTAAATAATATAAAAAATAAATTATTAAAGCACACACACACGTACACATACACACACAACTCACGCTGGGTGCACATGTGTGCGTGCCCAAAATACCAAGAGGAGAATGAAAGAAAAGGGACTGCAGTATAGATATCAGCCCTGGGCAGTGATTTCCTACTTTCTCTCCCTATCTCTCGGGGGAGCACATGTGCCCTACAGCAAAAATCTCTTAAAAAAACAGAACAAAACAAAACAAAACAGAAAAACAATAGGTCCAGGTGGTGGCGCGGTGGTTAAGACAGCTAGATCACAAACCCCCAACTATGTGGTTGGAGTCCGAAATCCAATGGCTTAAATAAAGATGCTAGGGGGACCAGCAGTTGATGTAATTGCTATGTCGTTGGACCGCAGTTCAAGTCTTGGACCCAGTGGCTTAAACTCACACCGGGCGTGTGTGAGTGCGTGCCTAAGATCCCAAGAGGAGAATGGAGAAGGGATTGTGGTGTGGCCATCCCCCCGGGGGGTGATTTCTCGCTTTCTGACTCTCTTCCTGGCGAGTGCACCGCCCTATAGCAAAAACCTTCCCCCCACACCCCGCGTTAAAAAAAAAAAAAAAAAAAAAAAAAAAAAGGAAAACAAGAGATGCTAGTACGTGTGTGCAAAACTCCTAGAGGAGAATGGCTAAAAAGGGACTACAGCATGACCATCCCCTTCTGAGGGGTTATTTCTCACATTTTCCCTCTCCTCCTCTCTCCAATGAGCATATGTACTCTACAGCAAAACATGCATGTGCCAGAAAGACAAACCTAATATACAACAAACACTAAGATAAATCTATTATGATTCCTCTCATTCCCTTCACCCACTCATAATCTACCAAAAACAAAAACGTCCTTGAGTTGAGAAATCTATCTTTACACTTTTTCTGTAAAAACATAAAGAATTAGTTCTTGGCCAAACCTACAAAGATGGTCCCCAAGGAACAAGACAGAGAAACAAGTAGCTATGTTCTTTTGTAACCCTTTTCACTTTCACATTGAGAGCTTTTGTTCCCCTCCATGACTCACCTGCAGGCACGGTCGGGGGAATTAAGAATTTCATAGTAGAATACAGAAAAGTTGAGAGCAAGACCTAAGCGAATAGGATGCGTTGGCGGAAGTTCTGTCATTGCAATATCACTAGCAGCTTTATAAGCCACTAGGCTATTCTCTGCTGCCTCCTTCCTGTCATTTCCCGTGGCGAATTCAGCCAGATACCTGTGGTAGTCCCCTTTCCTATAAGAAAACCAAACAAAAAACAGAATTAGGATGCTTTCTAAAGAAAAATTTTGTTAAAAATTCTTCTGCAAAATCTTTAAAAAGTTTATGAAAAATGTATTATGAAAAAGCTACATATGAATCTCAAATAATTCTACACGTATTATAATTCTGTTTCCCCATGAATTTCCATTAAAAGTACCCTCGCATACTATATAAAATGTGACAAAAATATATTTTAACAATTATCAGATGTACTTCAATAATTCTTAAAACTTTAGAAATGAATGGCTTGTCTAATTAGTTTCTTTTCTTAAAGATTTAATACAATCCCACCCATTATCCACAGAGTATATATATCCAAAGATGCCTGAAACTGTGGATATTATCAAACCCCATATATACTATATTTTATCAATTGATAGCTAAAATAGCGACTCCATGTCTAATAGGAAGGTAGTGTACACAGTGCTGATATACTGCAGAACATTCAACAGAACATTCACTTGCTGAAAATTAAACAAGGAAAGTGGTTCCAAAGGATAGCATAACAGCTTACTAAAAGTGAAATAAAATTCCTATATAAAATGTTAAGAGTACACTATTAAATATATGGTTGTACACGAATGCCAAAGAATGTAAATAAGCACAAGCTAATACATTTCTGTAACAGTCTGACCACCTTAATTCAAGAATATAAATTCTTCATTAGAAGTGAGTTTGCAAAACCAAGTTATTTTTCAGTATTTATAATTTTAAAGACTCCCATTTAACTATCCTTCCAACATTAAGCAAATATTAAATAAAAGTTGAAAACCTACACAGAAAATGTCATGATTATGAGAAGGCCAACTTTTAATCTTACATTTTCCCTTCTAGTAGAGAACCTACATTTTATAATAGAAAACCTTGGACTCGCCAGTGTTAGCTGCTGGAATGAGGTGTTTGTCCAGTACATCCAGAATGTCACAACAGATTAACTTTAGCTCAGTCTCAACCTGAAAAAATTAAAATTTTTTTTTAAAAATCACAGATTGTTTAAGTCTAGACATTCCATAAATTATTACACATTCCATCTATTGTACTACTGGCTTAGAGGAAGACAGCCTTGTTAAAATAGAATACACATCCCTTTCCAAACCCCTTTCTTCCCTCCCCTTTTAACATAAAAACAGAGAAGATGTGTCTCCAAGTTACAGAAAAGTATCTTTTCCTTTCTGCACGCTTTCTGTTAAGTTTGTGTAATTGTGTATATACTGATATACACACACACATATACTCCCTCACAGTTCAGCTACAGATTACGCTTCATTGGGAACCAGCAGTTAGCGTAATGGCTCTTTCGCTGGACTCCCACGTAGTCGACCGCGGTTCGCGTCTGGGACCCGGTGGCTTAACTCACGTTGGGCGCATGTGCATGCATTCCCAAGATCCCTAGAGGAGAATGGAGAAGGGACTGCGGCGTGCCCATCCCCCCTGGGGGGTGATTTCTCGCTTTCTGTCTCTCTGTCTCTGTCTGGCGAGCACAGGCGCCCTATAGCAAAAACCTCTCCAAAAAAAAAATAAATAAAAGAATACGCTTCATTATTTTTTACTACTACATGCTGGGCATTTTGCATAAATAAACTTCAATGGGGTAGTAACTACTATCTTTGTTCATATGGGAAAACACAGGTAAAGATACTTGCACAAAGATTCCTAAGTTAAAATAATTTAGGCAGTTCGCAATGAATAGAATTAAAATTCAAACTCAGTTTGCCTCCAGTACTCACATTCCTAACTATTTAACAGCCAATCACTTTAGCGGTAGAGACCCTTAAGTTCTATGACACCAAGGAAAACATTGCCACTCTGTCGGTTAAGGAAGCAAATGTACACAATGCCATCTTTCTCTGCATTTTCTATTAATTCATGGTGACATTCCTGAACTTTCCTAGGTTCCATCTCATGCCTCTGAATGCTATTTTAAGGATTTCTTCCACTCTTTCTTCTATAATCTTATCCTCACCCTAAGTAAAGTTAGTTTTTCTCTGAATTGCCTATCTTGTGGCTTTTCAAGCAGAAATTGCTCTAGAAGGGAAGATTTCTAAGTTGTCCTTGCTCCTCCCATACTCAGTGACTGTTCTATTACTCCAAACCTTTCTCCTAGGAAGCTCACACTCTACATTTTATTTCTCACTTTCATTTATGAACAGATCTTGAGGACTTTCTCCTACATTATCTATAGCATACCTCTCGAATACCTGATATCACACCAAGGCATTATCACCCACATTCCATCAACGCAGCTCTTTGATCTCTACTCCATGAGGCACTTGTCAATATTCCTAAATGAGCTGCTTTAACCTACAAGTTTTAATTCTAATATTCCCCTCTTGCCCTGTAACTTTTTCAACTTCCTTTATTTACTCCTCTGTTCCTACTTAGTAACTCATGAAAATCTCCATTCTTTTGCACCTTTTGACTGCTCCTAATTTATCACTCTTTGCTCCATACTTATCCCAAATTCCACAATCCAACTCACAGATTTCTTTCTCCAGAACTTTCAACGTTCTCATTTCCTCATCCCTCAGAGACACCAAACTTGTCTACTAACAATTCAATATTCTTTGTTCCAACATACCTGGGAATAATCCCAGATCACAATCTTCTATGTAATCTCAAATATGCTACTTATAACCATTCAGAATCTCCATTTTTTTTTTTTTCATCTAGCAGTTGTGATAAAAACATCCTTTTGGGGATCACTTTTCAAGACTAAATTAAAACAAACAAACAAACAAACAAACAAAACCACAGACGACTAAATATAATAACTTCAACAGAGACCAGTAGATGGCATGGTGGTTAAGGTACTGGACACTCCCACATGGCCAACCACGGTTCAAGTCCCAGACCTGGTGGCTTGCTTTCTTGCCCCCTCTTCCTGTCTCTCTCTGGTCAAATTAAAATAAAATGAATAAATAAGTAACATTAAGTAAATAATTTTTTTAAAAAATGTAACTTGCATAAATAAACTTTACAGAAATATGTCCCAACACAGTGCTGGTAGAGCTGGCAAGTCAATAACTGGATCTCTCCACTTTCACTACCAAGCTCCCTTTCCCACACTACTCCTGCAGGCTCTGTAAATCCCTTCTCTGTCTTAGGTGTGTTTACATGTCTAGCTCTATCTCTTGGATTAATTACTCAACGGCAGCATGACTGGTATTTTGAACAGGTTAGTTCTTTCAGTACCCAGATTATCCCTGTCACAGAAGGATGTTTAACATAGCATCCCTGTCTCTACTCACTAGATGCCAGTAGTACCCTCTCCAAGCTGTGAAAATTAACAATGTCTCTAGATGCTGCCAAATGTTCTCTGAGGGGAAAAAAATATCTCTGGTTGAGAACTTCTGTTCCATAGTAAAGGCTACCAAATTTTTCTGAACAAGATCTACAATAAGAAATATTCTAGCCAAGTATGGTGGTTAGACAGATAGGTTCAAATGGCCATGTGCGCAGTTGAGTCCCAGACCCGGTGGCTTGAAAAATACACAGGCACATGCATGCCCAAAATCCTGAGAGAAGAATGAAGGGCCTGTGGTATGGCCATGCCCACAGTGTATTCATGTGTACGTGTACATGTGTTCCCCTTGCCTCTCTCCCCACCACACATCTCTCCGGCCAGCACGTATAGCCTATGTAAATTGTAAAAAAAGAGAAAGAAAAATGTATATGTATACACACATACAGAATATTTAAGATAATGTCATGAAGTAATTCTTATAAGGTCATGCCGGCAGGTGGTGTGGCAGTTAAGGTGCAGGATTCCAACACAGCCAACTGTAGATCAAGTCCTGGAACTGGCAGCTTGAAAATCACAACAAATAAACAGATAAATTAAAAAATAGTAATAGGGACCAGCAGTTAGCATAATGGCTATGTCACTGGACTCCCATGTAGTCAACTGCAGTTCAAGTCCCAGACCCGGCGGCTTAAACTCACTCCAGGCGAGTATGCATACATGCCCAAGATCCCAAGAGGAGAATGGAGGAGAAGGGATTGCGGCATGGCCATCCCCCCCTGGGGGGTGATTTCTCGCTTTCTGTCTCTGTCTCTGTCTTTGTGGCGAGCGCACACGCCCTATAGCAAAAAACCTCTCAAAAAAAAAAAGTAATAATTGGGGCCAGAAGGTGACGGGGTGGTTGGGGGTGGCTGGATTCCCACATGGTCAACCACAATTCAAGTCCCAGACCTGGCAGCTTGTTTTCTCCCTTTCCCACTCCCTTTCCCTCTCTCTCTCTCCTGTGTGTGTGTGCACGCGCGTGTATCCCTCTCTGGTCAAATTAAAATAAGTAAATAAAGTTAAATAAAATAATTATTTAAAATATATCAATAATAATATCTGGTGTGTGTGTGTGTGTGTGTACACACACTTTTTAAAAAAGTCTGTTATATTGGGACCAACAGTCAGTGTAATGGCTATGTCACTGGACTCCCACGTAGTTGACCACGGTTTGCGTCCCGGACCCGGAGGCTTAAAACTCACACCAGGCGCGTGTGCGTGCGTGCCCAAAATCCGGAGAGGAGAATAGAGAAGGGACTGCGGCGTGGCCATCCACCCTGGGCGGTGATTTCTCGCTTTCTATCTCTCTGTCTGTTTCTGTCTTTCTGGTGAGCGCACGCGCCCTATAACAAAAACCTCTCCAAAAAAAAGATAAAAAAAACCGTCTGTTATAGGGGGTTAGTGGCCTGAGGTGATCTTTGAAAATGGTTCACTATTCACTTGACCCAGAGAACCCCACAAAGTCATGCAAGTCAAGAGTTTCAAATCTTCGTGTTCATTTTAAGAACACTCGTGAAACTGCCCAGGCCATCAAGGGTATGCATATCCAAAAAGCCACCAAGTATCTGAAAGATGTCACTTTACAGAAGCCGGGTGTGCCATTCCGTCGTTACAATGGTGGAGTTGGTAGATGTGCCCAGGCTAAACAGTGGGGCTGAACACAAGGTCCGTGGCCCAAAAAAAGTGCTGAATTTTTGCTGCACATGCTTAAAAATGCAAAGAATAATGCTGAACTTAGGGGGTTATTGAGCACATTCAGGTGAATAAGGCAGCAAAGATGCGCCGTCGTACGTACAGAGCTCATGAACGGATTAACCCATACATGAGCTCCCTTTGCCACAGAGATGATCCTCACTGAAAAGGAGCAAATTGTTCCTAAACCGGAAGAGGAAGTTGCATAGAAGAAAAAGATATCCCAAAAGAAACTGAAGAAACAAAAACTTATGGCACAGGAATAAAGTCAGCATAAAATAAATGTAGATAAAAGTAAAAAAAAGTCTGTTACAGGGCACATGTGCTCATCAAAGCAAGAAACACAGAGACAAAGTGAAAAATCACCCCCCATGTGGGACGGTCATGCCACAATCCCTTCTCTTCCATTCTTTCTGAGACTCTGGGCATGCACGAGCATGTGCCTAGCTTAATTTTTCAAGCCACTGGGACTCAAAACTGTGCAGGTGGCCATGTGGAATCCAGATATCTTAATTACTGTTCCACCTGGCTGGTCTACAATCTGTTATTTTCTTCTCTCTCTTTTTTTAAGGGCACATGTGCTCATGGGAGAGAGACAATGACAGAGAGAAAAGTGAAAAATAACCTTCTCGGGGACAGCCATGCTGCAATATCTTTTCCTCCATTCTCCTCTCAGGATTTTGGGCATGCACACACACATGCCCACTGTGACTTTCAAGCCACCAGGTCCAGGGCTTGAACCACAGTTGGTTAGCTATATGAGAGTCCAATGCCTTAAACACCATGCCACCTGCTGGTCCCAGTCATCTGATATTTCTTATCGTTTAAAACAATGACTAAGGCCAGATGGTGGTGAAGTGGTTGTACAACCAAACACACATGGGAAGGTTTCTAATTCCCATTCCAGAACCCTGCTGCACATGGCAGGTCGAGCTTCCAAGCCCAATATCTTCACTGGTTTAGGCTGGGAGTAGATTGCAGAGTGGAAACCCATATGGAGATGCCCTGCCACTACCTCTCAAGAAGGGGAAAAATAAAGATTAAGTCTCCATAAAGACAGTAACATACATAGTTATAACATAGGATATAGAAACCTTTTTGTGCCCACAGTATCTGGGTAAACTGTTATAGAAAAGAGGCACACAAGAGTTTGTTAAACTGCCCTGAAAATTAAATAGTCAACTGCTTTGCAGTCACTGCCATAAAAAACAAAAGGTTAGTCCCAATTGTTGTGGTCCAGCCAGTGCAAGAGCTGATGGTGGAGGCCACATGAAAAGACTAGGCAAACAGGTGTGCATGGATGGCTACAGGGACACAGATTTTAGTGTGAAGACCCTGTCAGGATGCACATCTCTCACACTCTCTAACATCAAACAAGGGTCAGCAGGTGGCATACTAGTTAGATCCCACACAGCCAACTACATTTTAAGTCCCAAAACCGGTGGCCTTCAACAATATACCAGACACATGTGTGTACATGCCAAAAGTCCCCAAAAAAGAAGGGGTAGAAGGGATTGCAACTTGACCATGGCCCCCTACCCTGAAGGATGCTCTCTCACTTTCTCTATGGCAAGCACATACACAAACGCAAACTTTTAAATATATTTTCTTAATAATTATTTAATTTTTATTATTATCTTTAAACTTTATTTTAATTTGATCAGAGAGTGAGAGTGAGAGACTGAGTGAGTGAGTTGGAGAGAGAGAAAGAGAGAGAAAAACAAAGTGAGAAAGTGAGCTGCCCAAAGAAAAAGAGAGAGAGAGAGAGAGAGAAAGGAGAAGGAAGGAAAAGGGAGAATGCAAGCTGTCAGGTCTGGAACTTGAACCACAGCTAGCCACATGAAAAGTCAAGTGCCTTAACCCTCATACCACCTACTGGCCCCAAATATATGTTTTTTAAAAAGGAAGACTGGGGACCAGCAGGTGGCATAATGGTTATGCCACTGGACTCCCACACAGTCAACCGTGGTTTGAATCCTGAATCTGGAAGCTTAAACTCACACGGGGCGCGTGTGCATGTGTGTCTAAAATCCCGAGAGAAGAATGGAGGAAAGGAGACTGCAGTGTAGCTATCCATTTCTCACTTTCTCTCTTTCTCTGTCTGGCAAGTGCATGCATCCTATAGCAAAAATCTCTCAGGACCAGTGGATAGTGTAATGGTTACATTGCAGGACTCCCATGTAGTTGACCACAATCTGAGTCCTGGACCTGGAAGCTTAAAACTCACTCCAGGCGCATGGGCATGCATGCGTGCCCATCCTCCTGGGGGTGGGGAGGGATGATCTCTTGCTTTCTATATCCCTAGAGAACATGCATGCCATATAGTAAAAATTTCTTAAAAATAAAAAATAATAAATAAATAAAAACTGAAGCCAGCAGGTGGCATGGTCGTTTAGGGCTGGACTCCTGGACCAGGCAGCTTGGAAGGGGGGAAAAAAAAAAAAAAAAAATCACACTGGCTGTATGTGTGCTTGGAATTGAACATCATCCCCTGCAACTTCCAGGGAAATAAGTTCATCACTCTGTCCACAAATACTGTGTAGCCTCTAATTTCTAATCCAGATGAATAAAAGACAAAAATTCATTAAAATGTAAAACCAAGACAAGCAGATGGCATGGAGATTACAGCTGCTAGATTCCCACATGGCTGGCTCTAAGCTCTGAGTACTGGACTTGGCAGCTTGAAAACCATGTCAAGCACATGTACATGTGTGTCCAAAATCCTGAAAATGGAGGAGGAATTGCAGCATGGTCATCCCACCTACTGACCCCAGAGGTGATATCTTACTCCTCCCCACACCCACTTTCTGTGGCAGGTACTTGCACCCTATAGTAAAAACTAGAATTAAGTATATTATGTATAGAGATCACATGCATGCACTAGGCTATGAACTAAATATCCAAGACCTAAGGCCAAATTTCTGACACCTATAGGCCTAAACTTAAGCTAGATAGATACTCAGAAGAAATAAGCCTCCTTTCCTTTGGAGAACTTTTTTTTTAAAGGTTTTTTTGTCAAAAGGCATGGGAGCTTGCCAGAGAGACAATAAAAGGGAAAGTGAGAAATCATCTCCCAGGGAAGTAGCCACTCAGCGATCTCTTCTACATTCTCCTCCCAGGATCTTGAGCATACCGCACACATGCCTGGCATGATTTTCAAGCCACCAGATGTGAAACTCAAACTTCAGTTGACCATGTGTGAGTACAGTAATGTAACTTCTACCCCATCTGCTGGACCCCAGGGATGATTTTCTTCAAACCACCAGGCCCAGGATTTGAACCACAGTTGGACATTTGGGAGTCTAGCACCTTAACCACCACTATGTCACCTGCGGCTCCCTGAAGAACTATAAAAACACAAGGCAAGGGACCAGCAGACGGCATGATGGTTACATCCCTGGTCTCCCACACAGTCAACCACGGTTTGAGTCAAGGGCGATAGCTTATAACTCACACTGGGCACTTGTGCATGTGTGCCCAAGATCCTGAGGAGGAGAACGGACAAGAAAGGATTATGGTGTGGTCATCCCCCTGGGGAGTGGTTTCTCCCTTTCTATGTGTCTCTGCAGAGAGCACACATACACTATACCAAAAAAAAAAAAAAAGGAAAAAAAAAAAAGAAAAAAGAAAAAAAAAAACTTTCTAGAAAAATAAAGTAAAACAGGTGTCAGCAGGTGACATTAAAGGCTCTGGACTCCCACACAACTCACCACAGTTTGAGCCCTGGACTAGGTGACTTGTTTTCTCACTTTGTCTCTCTCTGATCAAATTGAAAAATAATGAAATATTGATAATAAATAATTATTTTTAAAAAAAATAATAAAAATTGGGGCCAGCAGGTGGCATGGTGGTTAAGGGTGCTGGACATGGCCGACCATGGTTAGAGTCCCAGACCTGGAGGCTTGCTTTTTCACTTTCTCTTTCTCTCTCTCTCCTGCTCTTGCTCTCATTCTTTCCCTCTCTGGTCAAATTAAAATATATAAATAAAGTTAAATAATCCTAAAAAAAAAAAAAAGTAGTAAAAAATAAAATAATTAAACAAGGACCAGTAGGTGGTGTGGTGGTTAGAGTGCTGGCCTCCCACATGTTTAAAAATAAGTAAATAAAATAATCAAAGACAAGCCGAAGGCATAACGGTTATGTTGCTAAGTTCCCACATAGTTGACTTAGTTCAAGTGCCAGACCCAGCGACTTAAAACTCATGCCAAACATGTGCATGTGTTCCCAAAATACCAAGAGAAGAGAGAAGGGATTACAACTTGGCCATCCTCCCGGGTTTTGGTTTCTCACTTTCAGTCTGTCTCTCCAGTGAACGCACACACCCTATAGCAAAAATTTCTCTCTCAAAAAAAAAGAAAAATTGGGACCAGCAGGTGTGGTGGTTAAAGTGCTGGAATTCCCACATGGCCAACCATGGTTCGAGTCCTGGACCTGGTGGCTTGCTTTCTCACTTCCCCCCCCCTGTCTTTCTCTGGCAAAACTCATGTGAAAATAATAATAATAATAATAAACAAATAAAAATAATAATTCTTTTAAAAAAAGAAAAATCAATGAATTAACTAAATAAAAGGCAAAAATGAAGATATATTCAGGTAACAACCTCCTCCTTTCTGTTGCATAAAACCCATCTTAAGAGATCAAGGCTCGGATCCTGGTTCAATCTGAACATGACAGGTACATGATGTTCATCCTGGCTGGCTAGAACAGTTATTGTGGCAACACCCTATCAAGAGTAGCCCTCTCTCCACAACACCCAAAACAACAACAAAAAATTTTTCTTTTAAAAAGCAGAAATTATGACATTGGATATAAAATGGAGTATTTCAGTGGAAAAAAGTGTAGGAAACAAACTCTACAAAGTAACCCAGTATCAACAGCTATATTAAGAAATGCTTGTTAACTTTTTAAATAAATACAACAATCTCACCATTTGCCGATATTCCCGAATCATTTTTAGTTTGTCTTCTCCTCCTTTGTTTTCTTCTTTCTGTTCAATGCTGCTGATTATTCTCCAGGAAGCTCTTCTAGCTCCAATCACATTTTTATATGCAACAGATAGGAGGTTTCTTTCTTCGACTGTCAGCTCCACGTCCATCCCTGCTACGTTCTTCACTGATTCCACCATTTCGTCGCATCGCTCAAGCAAAATCTAACTACACGAACTTAAAAGGTTTCATTAACATATTTTTCACAGTGGTTTTTCTGTCAAGCTACTGGGAAAAAGATAGGAATTTTATCAAAAAAGACTTCACAAATCAGCAATCAGCGTAATGGCTATGTCACTGGACTCCCATGTAGTCAACCTTTGTTCGAGTCCTCAACCCAGTGGCTTAAACTCACACCAGGCGCATGTGTGTGCATGCCCAAGATCCAGGGAAGAGAATGGAGGAGAAGGGATTGAGGCGTGGCCACCCTCCCTGGGGAGTGATTTCTCACTTTCTGTCTCTCTCTGTTTTTCTGGTGAGCACATGCGCCCTATAGCAAAAACCAAAAAAAAAAAAGACTTCACAATCATCAAAAATAGTAAGTGGGCTAGTAGGTCTTCTCATAAAGGGCCCAGGGTGATCTTTGAAAGTAGTTCACTATTCACTTGCTTCAGGGAGCCCCACAAAACCCTGCAAATCAAAAGGATTGAATCTTAATATTCACTTTAAGAACACTAGAGAAACTGCCCAGGCCATCAAGGGTATGTGTATCTAAAAAATCAAGTATCTGAAAGACATCACTTTATAAAAGTACTGTATGTCATTTCATTTTTACAATGGTGGAGTTGGTAGATGTGCCCAGGCCAAAGCTAGAGGGGCCAGCAGGTGGTGAGGTGGTTAAGGGTGCTGGACTCCCACAAGACCATCCGTGGTTCAAGTCCCAGACATGGAGGCTTACTCTCTCTCTTTCTCTGTCCCTCTCTGGTCAAGTTAAAATAAATAAATAAATAAATAAAGTTAAATAGAAATAAAATCTTAAAAAAAAAGGGGGGGGGGGGAGGCCTAGAGACAGGGTCTTTAGCCAAAAAAGTCTACTGAATTTTTGCTGCACATGCTTAAAAATGCAGAAAGTAATGCTGAACTTGAGGGGTTAGATATAGATTCTCTGAGCATATTCAGGTGAACAAGGCACTCAAGATTGCTTCATACTTACTGAGCTCATGGGCGAATTAACCCACATGTGAGCTCCTCCTGCCACATGGGAATAATACTGAAAGGGAATAAACTGTTTTTAAAACCAGAAGAGGTGGTTACACAGAACAAAAAGATATCCCAGAGGAAACAAAAGAAACAAAAATTTACAACACATGAATAAACTCAGCATAAAATAAATGTAGATAAAAGGGAAAAACAAAGAAAAGTAGGCCAGCAAGTGGCATGGAGATTAGGGTGCCCAATCCCACATAGCCAATCGAATAGGTCAAGTCCCAGACTCAATGGCTTTTCTGAAAAATCACATTGGGTACACTGAGCATGCATGTTCTAAATCCTGAGAGAAGACTAGATAAAAAGGGACTGTGGGGACCAGCAGTTAGCGTAATGACTATGTCACTGGACTCCCACGTAGTCGACCGCAGTTTGAGTCTCGGACCTGGTGGCTTAAACTCACGCCGGGCATGTGTGCGTGCGTGCCCAAGATCCCGAGAGGAGAATGGAGGAGAAGGGATTGCGGCGTGGCCATCCCCCCTGGGGGGTGATTTCTCGCTTTCTGTCTCTCTGCCTCTCTCTGTCTGTCTGGCAAGCGCATGCACCCTATAGCAAAAACCTCTCAAAAAAAAAAAAAAAAACCAAAAAAAAACAAGGGATTGTGGTGTGTCCATCCCCACTGGAGGGTGATTTCTCACTTTCCATCTCTCTCTGGAGAACACTCCCTATAGTGAAACTTTAAAAAAAAAAGGAGGGGGGGACGGGACTAACCAAAAAACATGTAAAAGAAACTAAGAGCCAATAAGAGAATCTACAGTACCAGTTGTATCGGCAAGACTTAATAAAAAATATAATTTAGTGGGACTCACAAGTATGAATCATATTAAATAAGGGAACTAGTAATACATACCTATGCATATTCTAGTAAAACTAACAGACATGATGGTTTGAAACAAAATTTTTTTTGAGAGGTTTTTCGCTATAGGGCGCATGCACTCGCCAGACAGAGAGACAGAGACAGAAAGCGAGAAATCACCCCTCAGGGGGGACAGTCACACCGCAATCCCTTCTCCATTCTCCTCTCGGGATCTTGGGCACAGACGTACATGCGCCTGGCGTGAGTTCTAAGTCACTGGGTCTGGGACGCGAACCGCAGTTGACTACGTGGGAATCCGGTGACATAGTCATTACGCTAACTGCTGGTTCCCTGAAACAAATATTAATTTATAAGCTCAGGCGACTAGGTGGCACAGTGGTTAAGGTTAAGATGATGCACTCCCACATGGTCGACTATGGTTCAAGTCTTTGACCTGGCAGTTTGAAACTCATTCCAGGCATGTGTGCGTGTGTGCCCAAAAATCTCAGGAGGAGAATGGAAAAGGGACTGGGACATGGCCATTCCACCAGAGAAGTGACTTCTTACTTTCCCTCACTGTCTGTCTCTCTCTACAGGGAGCTCACATGCCATATATATATATATACACACACATACACATACACACACACACACACACACACACATATATATGTAAATAGGCTCCACAATGTATTACTTTCCAAATAAATTATATTTTCCACAAACTCATGGGAGGAAGAATTCATTCATATGGTCAAAATTTACTTACATGGTTAGTCACAAGCACAGAATTGCCCTATCTTTAGCCTTTCTCCTGTAAAAGGGCAATATCTCCTATTCATTCATTAGCAAAACTTCGATGATTCCTATCTGTTGCCACTAGGTGGCAAGCAAAGAAAAGGGGCCAGATAAACATCAGAAATTCCAAGTATTAAAAAAAATAAACACAGTACATGAATGCAAAGGAAGAACCAAACACAGCTCAACAAATACTAGCCAAGTGAATAAATATATAGTAATGAAAAGTATGCTCATAGAAAAAGACTGAACATGGGCCACCTATGAGGCATAGTGGTTATGGTGGCTGGATCCTACATGGTTAGCTACACAGTTTGACTCAGCAGCTTGCAAATCATGCTGGGCACATGGGCCTTAATGCCAAAAATCCTGAGAGAAGACTAGAGAAGACATTGTGGTATGGCCAGCCTCTGGGGGAGTGGGGGGACTAATCATTTTCCTTTTCTCTCAGAAGCGCACTAGCCCGACACCAAAAAAAAAAGACACTGAGTGCATGGGCATGCGTGCCCAAAACCCCAAGAGGTATAGCCACCCACCTGGGGAGTACTTTCCCACTTGCCCTCTTTTTTCTGTCTCTCTCTCCCATGAGAGCTAGTGCCCTACACAGGGTGGAGGGGCAGAGAGACAGTATCATTTCATCATGTGGCTCTTCGACTTTACTATTTACAGTATTTAGTGATCAGATCCAAGAATATGCATTTTATTTTTTAGTGAGTTTTTGCTATAGGGCACATGCACTCGCTGGAGAGACACGGGGATATGGCCATGTTGCAACCCCATCTCCTCCATTCCCCTTAGGATTCTGGGCACACATGCACACACACCCAGGCTGAGATTTAAGCTGCTGGGTCCGGGACTCGAACCACGGTAAACTATGTGGAAGTTCAGTGCCTCAACCGCTGCACCTGCTGGCCCCGAAAACATGCATTTTCTCTCTCTCTCTCTCTCTTTTATTTTATTTATTTATTTATTTATTTTTAAAAAGGTATCTGCTATAGGGCATGTGTGCTTGCTGGATAGAGACAGACAGAAATTACCCCCAGGGAAGGGGGGTTGGCCACGTCACAATTCCAATTCCTGTTCAACTACATGGAAGTCCGGCAACATAACCATTTCTCCATTTGCTGGTCCCAGAGAATATGTACTTCAAACAAGCACCCAGGGACAGTTGGTGGTGTGGTGGTTAAGGCGGCTAAATCCCACATGGCTGACTGTATGGTTCTAGTCCCAGATCTGGCAGCATGAAAAAACATGCTGGACACGTGTGCATGCATGTCCTAAATCCTGTGGAAAAAACAAGAGAAGGAATCTGAAGCATGCCCACTCCCCTTCAGAGGATGATTTCTCACTTTGTCCATCTCTTTCTGACTCTGGCAAACACACACCACCTATAGGAAAAACTTAAAGAAAAAAAAAAGCAAGCACCATACCATACATTAACAGCCTTGGCATAAGCATACCTTAACAGGTAGGATGAAACAGTTATTTTATAAAAGACTACTTAATGAGGAAGCCAGCTAGGTTGATGTGGTGGTTAAAGTGGTTGGATCCCATATGGCTGGATGTGCAGTTCCAATACTGAAGCCAACACCAGGCACACATGTATGTGAGTATCCACAATCTTCAAGGAAAATGGAAAAGGGACTGTAGTGTGGCATATCTGCTATAGGTTGCCTTCTCACTTTCTCTGTCCTGCCCCCTCTAGCAAGAAAAAAAAAAAAAAAAACCTTAATGGTATGCTAAACAAAGAGGAGAGTTCCTAATAGATAATCCCAGAAACATGTTTTTATTTTTGTTATTTTTTTAAACAAATTATCCTTTCAGAAGTATCAGGAAATTAGGGGGCAAACAGATGGTGTGGTGGTTAAGGAACTGGATCCACATAGCCACTCTGCATTTCAACTCATGGACCTGGCCTGAAATACACACTGGGTACACATAGGTGCAGGTAGAAAATCCAAATCCCAAACGGAAAATAGACGAGAATGAACTGCTGAGTGGCCATCCCCTCCGGGGCATGATTTATCACTTTCCTTTTCTCTATGTCCCCTCAGGCAAGGATATGCACCCTACAGCAAAAATCTTCCAAAAAAAAAAAATTAAGATGCTGGGGCTGGCAGGTGGTATGATGGCTGAAGCACACTGTACTCCCACATGATCGGCCATGTTTCAAGTCCAGGTCCTAGCAGCTTGCTTTCTCATTCTCCCCCTCTCTCTTTCTGGTCAAATTGAGTAATAATAAATAATTCTAAAAAAACAAAAGTTAAAAAAAGGTGTTAGGAAATCTTTTTGAAAACAATTCAGCTTTTTTAATAGTTACACACTTAACCATAACTCAGCAATGCCA